AGCCCTTCGGAGTCTGCAGAGAGGGCGAGCGCCGTGTCCTGGGGGGTGGCAGCGGCCACCCAGCACCCATGGAGTCACCTCCAACCCGTCCCCAGGGTTGCCCTGGGGCGCAGGACGGGGTGAGGACCCACCTTTCTCCAGCTCCACGGGGAAGAGGTCGAGCCGCTCCACCCTCTTCTCCAGCTCGTACTCGGCCGACGCGGCCATGGGGTCGACGTCTTCATTGCGGCGGTCATAGTCTTCGTTGGAGTAAGTGCTGAAGACCTGCCGGGGCGGAGGGAGCTGCTCAGAGAGCGGGGTGGGAAAACACCGCAGCCACCCCCCACCACCCCGACACCAGTGGCACCCGCGGGCGAGGGGCATCCCGGGGCGGGGGCAGCCTACAAGGCACTGGAGAATCCCCCCCAAGTCACATCATGGAGCAAGGGGGAGTTTGAGGAAGCGCAGAGGGTTTGGGGTGGCCCTGGGAGCAGAGATGGTGCCATGCCCTGCACCCCATGGAAGGATGGACAGAGGGTGGATGGACAGAGAGACGGACGAGGGGGTGGATGGATGGAATGGCAGGTGGAGGGATGGATGGATGGATGGAAGGGTGGATGGATGGATGGATGGATGGATGGATGGATGGAAGGAAGGAAGGATGGACAGGTAGAAGAAAAGGATGAAGGATGAAAGGATGGATAGGGGGATGAACGGATAGATGGAAGGATGGGTAGAAGAATGGAAGGAAGGAAGGACAGATGGATAGAAGGATGGATGGATGGATAAATGGATGGATGGACAGATAAATGGATGGATGGACGGACGGACAGATGGATGGAAGGAAGGAAGGAAGGAAGGACATACGGATAGAGTAATGGATGGATGGATGGGTGGGTGGAAGAATGGAAGGAAGGAAGGACAGATGGATAGAAGGATGGACGGATGGATAAATGGATGGATGGACAGATAAATGGATGGATGGACGGACGGACAGATGGATGGAAGGAAGGAAGGAAGGAAGGACATACGGATAGAAGAATGGATGGATGGATGGGTGGGTGGAAGAATGGAAGGAAGGAAGGACAGATGGATAGAAGGATGGACGGATAAATGGATGGATGGACGGGTGGATGGAAGGAAGGAAGGACAGATGGATGGATAAATGGATGGATGGACGGGTGGATGGATGGAAGGAAGGACAGATGGATAGAAGGATGGATGGATGGACGCACGGACGGATGAGCAGGTGGGTGGGTGGATGGATGGGTTGTGCAAGCACCGGCTGTTCCCCATCACACAGTTTGGAGAGGGCAGAACTGACTTGTGTCCCCCCCACACTCCCCCTTCCCCAGGCAGGGGCTCCCCAGCTCCCCAGCGCTCTCCAGAACCTTCTCATGGTCCAAACTGCCCCGTGGGAGTCGGGAAGGGCTCTCCCCTGGGGACAGCCTCACCCCCCTTGCCCTTCCCCACACCTCACCCCTGCCTGGGCACCCCTGAGCAAGCCGGGGCTGCCAGCCCGGCGCCAGGGACCCAAACCCACCATCGGGCCTGGGGGAGGTAAATCCCACCCTAAGTTTGGGGTCGGCTTATTGCCCCGGGTCTCCACCTGGCAGGTTCAACCTCTGCCTCCATGTGCTCGCCCAGAGGGATGCCCGGGCACTGGGAGCACCAGGGACTCCATGGGTCCAGGGGTCACCCCCATCCCGGGGTCTCCATGCCCCCTGTGCCCCCCTCTTGCAGGGCACCGAGGAGGGGTCAGCCTCAGGGCTGGGGCTGCCCCCGTCCTCCTGGGGGCCTGGGGACACCGAGGTCCCCCAGCCACCCTCGGTCCCAAGGGAGCAGGGATGGGGATGTCTGGCACTGCCGAGGCCTCGTGGCAGCCCCCATTCGAGGCCGGGGAGGGGACCTGAGCGGGGATGGCTGCAAAGGAGGTCGGGGCCGCGCACGGATGGGCGTCTGACGCCGAAAATCCCTGGGGATGCTGAGCCCCGGCGTGGGGC